TAGAGATGAAAACATAAACCAACTTATAAATGTTTGGGATACTCTTAGAGGGTGTTTGATGGGGATTAAAATTGAATTTTTAGTAGATTATGATAGAAGTATGTAGAACCCATAAAAGATGTGGTTAATATTGATTATTTGATTTTGACTTAAATTAAAATCTGATTTTAATCAGAAACAAACAAGGCTTTAATAATGTTATACTTTTAAGATGGAACTCCAAATCTTAATAATGCATAAATTATACTACATCCGTCCCATAAAAATAGACTTGTTTCTACTTTTCCACATGAAAAAATGTAGTTAATATAGTTGAAATTGTGAATTTTTCTTACATTTTTAGTAATATACCCCTACATTAAATAATTGTTTATATATGATAAGTTTATATTTTTTGATAACAAGATACATTACATAGACGTATATTAAAAAACTAAAAAAATATCAATAATTTCAATAAGAAAAGTGCCTATAATTTGTAACTGTATAAAATAAAGGGAAAATTTCATAACTAAGAAATTAAGTATGATCTATTTCAAAACTAAGAAACAATGTTTTATTATTTCAAATTCGGATATTAATTAAATTTATTTATGAAATAATTAATTAAAAATATATTTTATTACTTAAATATATTATGGTCACAATTATGTGCTAATGTGTCACAACTTATTTTTCGATCACATATTATCAAATTAATTGGTCATAAATTATTTTTCAGTTACAAATCAAAAAATTTATAGGTCACAATTTATTTTTTGGTCACAAGTTGTATAGGTAGCAACTTATTTCATAGTCACAAATTTCAAATTTTATAGGTCACAAATTATTTCACGATTACAAAATTATCAAATTAATTAGTCACAATTTACCAAATTCCGAGTCACAATTATAAATTTAGTCACAATCACTTGTTCTTCTAGGTCACATATTATATATTAGTCACACATTAACAATTTATTGGTCACAATACCAAAACAATTGGTCACAACACTCTTCCGACCACTATCATGAGCACCACCACCTCCGGAACCACTATCACCTCACCACAGCACCCGCAACACCACCACCACACCACATACCACCACTGCACACCGCATCACCCACACCCCAATACAACCATCTCATCTATCTCCATTTACACTACACCCCACCACCAACCCCACAAACTTGTCGCCCCCACCATCATAGCACACTATCATCGCCTACATCACCAACAGCTCAAAAACTGCATCAAAATATGTCGAAAAATCACCACGTAAACCTCAACAAGGGGCACTGTGATCTGTAACACTGGAGAAAAGTCCAGTTCACCTCTTTAAACCGCAACGTTGAAGAAAAATTTAGATCCACGAGTGGCAATGTCACCTGGCAAAACCATTCAGGCGCATCGCATCGCGGCACCTCAACTCCACAACGCAAAGTTGGTTTTGCTCCTCGCATAGCGCATCCACTTAGACGAAGATGTAGAGTTGCGCATCCACTGAGGCAAGGAGCTGCGCATCCATTAAGATGAGGCACCAATGTCGTGCCTCAACGCCTTAGTTGATGTGTTGCCGGGGAAGACCAGGGAAATTATAGAAAGAGAAATTGGGGTTTGGGGTGAACGAAGGTAGGTTGGGTAGGTTGTATGGATTAATTTAAATTGGGAGCCTGTTTGGTAAAACTTCTCATTTTCTACAGTAAATCAATTCTCATTTTCAACCACACATTCTTCAATAAAATAATATTTTCCATCACATCAATACTTTTTTCTTCTTTTTCAACCACACATTTCCCATCATATCACTATTCAAAAATCAATTCACATTCTTCAATAAAATAATATTTTCCATCACATCAATAATTTTTTCTTTTTTTTGCAACCACACATTTCCCATCATATCACTATTCAAAAATCAATTCTTCCCCCAAAAATCCCTACCAAACACGCTCTGGGGTGGGTGTTTTGGTGGGTGGGGTGTTTGTACATTTATTCTATTTTATAATATTATTGTTAATATTTAAAAATTATGTTATCATCTTATTTTTGTATTAAAAACTTTACATCTGAATTTTGAAGTTGATACTTAAAAAATCTGGTAAGTGTAATTTCCACAAAAATAAATTACAGGGCATTTCTAGACTCTCTACTTTTCTCCGCTTCAAGATGCTTTGTCAGTTCCTCATTGTTTACCCCTTTTTGTGACAACGGTAATGCTTCATTTCTCTCCTTGACCTGTTGAAAATGATCGTCATTCTGACAACAATTCCTTCCTCGTGATGCACCTCTAACATTGTATCAAACTTTACTAGCAAAACTTGATCGTCATGAAACCAAAGAACAAGTAGAAAATAAAACAACACGAATAATTATGGTTCAGAAAACATGTCGACGATTATGAAAGAAGAACTAAAAGCATCTCCAGTGATAATTAGATCTAAATTGTGATTTAAATCTTCAAAGTGTCCAAAAATCTCTTTAATTACAAAGTGCATTTATGACGGAAAATATATAAAAAAAAATGTAAAATTGCATCTATTTTTAGATCTACACGCAAAACTGACAAGAAGCATAGAGCTTTCAATCAACTTGCACCTAATTTTTTTAGATTTTTCAATTGGAGTAGAATTTAAATTTAAAATCTATCACGATGCAAATGGGGATGCAAAAGTGATATTGAAAATACCAATTTACACCTAATTTTATATCACCATTAGATATGCTCTAACTAAATATACTTCAACATGTATGTTCTCCTGCCCACGGTGGGAAGTCTTATTATGCCCACTCGAAGATAACCCAACGTTGAGTTTTCATATTTGGAGAGAACCCAACGTCCTGCCACATTAGCAGGTGGACAGTCTTATTCTGCCCACCGTGGGCAGGAGAACAATTCTATGTACTTCAAACTACAAGATTTCCTTACTCTTAACTTCTCTTTACACAAAGCTGATATGCTCAATACATTCATGCTCATTTTTAACTTTTCGCGATTTCTCTCTCAAACTTCAATCTTGGCTGCTTCAATCCCTATATCTGCTTGTGAACCTCTTCCGTTCAAATTTGCAGTTTATCAATTATACAGGAGAGAGAGACTATTAATAAATTATAGCAATTTCTTCTTTCCCTTTCCTTGCCTACGTTTTTCCATTATTTGTTTGGGAAAAAATTAGACTAACAATAATTAGATATAGGATATATATCCCTTAACAAGAAGAACTAAGAGCATCTCCAGTGATAATTAGATCTAAATTGTGATTTAAATCTTCAAAGTGTCCAAAAATCTCTTTAATTACAAAGTGCATTTATGACGGAAAATATATAAAAAAAATGTAAAATTACATCTATTTTTAGATCTACATGCAAAACTGACAAGAAGCATAGAGCTTCCAATCAACTTGCACCTAATTTCTTTAGATTTTTCAATTGGAGTAGAATTTAAATTTAAAATCTATCATGATGCAAATGGGGATGCAAAAGTGATATTTAAAATACCAATTCACACCTAATTTTATATCACCATTAGATATGCTCTAACTAAGCCCCTGTTTGAATCTCGTTTTAGTGAATGATGTGGATTTAAAGCCCCCGTTTGAATCTCGTTTTTTTCTCATTTTTGGCCAAAACTCATTTTGCTACAATTGAACAAGTGGACACGCAACCCACCTAATCAATTTGTGTCAAATGGCCCATGTAATAAAATATTAGCTTTGGCTCACAATTCCCGTTTTTGTCCTCATTTGAAATTTTGTACACATTTGTTACAAGAATGAATTTGAAGGGCATTTGTGGAATGGAATATAATTTCTACTGCAACGGGTCAAATCTGGCCATTTTTTCCTGACAACAGCAGATGAAATTATAAGGGATATGTACATGGACCCCACACATCACGCAAATTACTGTTGAAAAATGGGGAAAAAACGGGCGCCAAACAGGGGCTAAATATACTTCAACATGCATGTTCTACTGTCCATGGTGGGAAGTCTTATTATGCCCATTCGGAGATAACCCAACGTTGAGTTTTCATATTTGGAGAGAACCCAACGTCCTGTCACATTAACAGGTGGGCAGTCTTATTTTCTGTCCACCGTGGGCAGGAGAACAATTCTATATACTTCAAACTACAAGATTTCCTTACTCTTAACTTCTCTTTACACAAAGCTGATATGCTCAATACATTCATGCTCATTTTTCACTTTTCTCGATCTCTCTCTCAAACTTCAATCTTGGCTGCTTCAATCCCTATGTCTGCTTGTGAACCTTTTCCGTTCAAATTTGCAGTTTATCAATTATAGAGGAGAGAGACTATTAATAAATTATAGTAATTTCTTCTTTTCCTTTCCTTGCCTACGTTTTTCCATTATTTTGTTTCCTTTTTTAATCTGATTGTTATTAATGAGTCAAATTTCCAAAAATGTTTTTAGGTGCTCACCGTGACAATTAATCTTTCATCAGTCACTATCGGAGAATTCCTTCGTTTAAACAACAATAGAGAAATATCTCCTCATCCAACTTCACCGAACTACAAAAGTACTGACCAGTTATCTATCGAAAAAAGTATGTATCTGATGCATTCGACGAACAGAAATCTTTGACTTTATATGTTCCCCTATTTGGTCCGGATTAATTAATCCAAGTCAAAGTCAAACAATCAATATTAACCACATCTTTCATGGGTCCCACAACTTTTCAGTCGTACATTTCAAAAACTTTTATTACAATCTACTAAAAATCTAATTTTAATCCCCACCAAATTTAAAATACCAATTTCGTTGTGGGGCTAATTGAGTCTAAAAGTCAAACAAATTCATCACGGAGCCAAACTACTGAATTAATGTAGGGTTTGAATATAAGGCCTGTATTTACGCAGGAAGGGTGCATGGTACTTATGAAGTAAAACTATATGTATATATAATGAACTTACAAGTTCTATTGCAAACATAGACAGCTTAATTATATATGATCGATCAGCAAAAGAAAAAGCAATTTTTCTTTTGTGTGTTCCCTTAAAGAAATGGCATATATAGAGGGCAAAAGAGAAGTGATTCATAGCGTTAAGGTTGGAATTGCTTTGGTTTTGGTTTCACTTTTGTATCTTCTTGATCAACCATTCGAACGTGTGGGAGAAAATGCTATGTGGGCTATCATGACTGTTGTCGTCGTCTTCGAATTCTTTGCAGGTATTGTATAACTATTGAACTATGATCTACAAGTTTAAATGGTTAAAGATGATCTGAATATATCGTGTAAATCTTATTTTTAACGTTGAACACTAAAGGCATATTTGGTACACGTAGTATGCGATGGTACTATTGTAGAGTATAATGGATAGTATTTTTAAATTTTGAATTTATAATATTATCCATTAATACATTGAACACGACATTCCAAACATACCATAAGGGTGTGTCTGATATCTAAAATGAAATAGGATTGTATTAAACCACCTCATCTCACGTGGTGGCATATTTATTTTTATATCAAAAGCCTAACACAAGCATATTTTTCCTTTTTATAAACGGATAGCACTAATATTTGAACTCAGTTCTTCAATTTTGATATTTGAACCTCGTCGTAAACAAAATTAAGCTACGAGAGGTGAGGCATATTTATTTATTTGATTTTACTTTCAACAAATCAGACAATTTTAAAGAGTTACAAAAAAAATATAAAAATTATCCATTTTTTGTTGATTTTGGGGCTCCAATATACCACTAAAATCGTGCTCAGTCTTCAACCAAATCAACACCACACAACTTTAACACTTGGATGCCACAAGTCTACATCCCCACAAAGAGGCACTTGGTGGTGGTATTTGCAGCCCACACAGGAGGAGGAGGAGAAGAGAATAATTGGTCCGGCTGCCCCCCTTTTCTTCCACTCCTCATGCAAAATACACCCACACAAAAAACGGCTAGAATAGTGTGGATATATACATCATGGTTAGGTCACTTACATGGGCCTAAGTTCACTTAGGCTGCCTATATATTTCCACAACTAACCAACAATAAATGGGCCGATACATATCACCATCCAACCCAATAACTTAGACCATCCATGAGTGTTGGGCCACAAGCAACATTAACTCAATTAAGTTGCTTCTAGTGGCCCCAAGTTATTTTCAGGTCGAGCAATCACTAAGGTGTCGATATAATTTATCCAACATCGGTTTTACAACATTGTCCGGATTTATTGGGTATCAAAAAACCCAACAATTTTATTTTTTAATTATTTGTATTATTGTGTAGCAAATCGATTTTGATTTACAAAATTCCAATTCCTAAAACTATGAGCATGTTTGGCTTAAAATATTTATTTATAAGTAAATAAGTAAATTTTCAAATGAATGATTTTAAGAAAGTGACGTGAAGATATAACTTTTAGACGGAGAGTGAAAGGTATCCACCACTTTTTGCTTACTAAAAAATCTTAATTTTCATATTTTTGTCCTTTCTTCCACATACCATTTTTTTTTCAAATGTGTTATAAAACTCTCGAAATATGTAACATTTTCAACAAACTATGTAAATTTAATGAGAATTCTATCTAATTAAGACACTCTAAGCTTCATTAGGGATGTCAATGGGGTAGATATGGGACGAGTCAGTCATTCCCATCCCCATCTCATCGGGTATTTTTGTTCCCTTACACCATCCTCATACCCTTTTAAAACTGGACGGGTGGGTTTGGGATGGGATAGAGGCAGGACGGGCAGTGACGGACCCAACACCCGGCGAGAGCCCACGACCGCGCGTGCGGGATCCGCTATGACTATATTTTCTAATATTTCTTGTAACTTAGCTGGTTAGAGCTCTTATATTCATAAAGGATGTCCCGATTTTGAATCTTCTTCCCACCACTTTTATTGTGAAAATTTTTTAATTCTTTAATTTTTAACAAAATTAAAAGGGATAAGGAGAGGAGATTTGAAACCGTGACCTCTCCTTAGGATATTGAGAGTTTGACTGCTGTGGCACTCATTGAATTTGACATTAAACTTACTAGAATAATATATATTACATTTTAGCGGGTTTAACGCAATTCTAAAAATTTGAACCTGTGATCTTCCTTTGAATTATATAAAATTTGGCCACAATATCATTTGAAGAATATTGTTAACTTTTACAACAAAATTATATATGCTTAGTTTGAACAAAATAATTGTTATATTTAAATTTGAGACTTTGTTTGATTTCTCTACTTTGAATTATACAAAACTTGATCACAATATTATTTGGTGAATATTGCTAATTTTTACAACAAAATTATACATGTTCAGTTTGAATAAAATAATTGTTATATTTAAATTTTAGACCTTGTTTGATTTTTTTTTCAAAATACATTTTTCTTTCTATTTTTAACCGCACATTTTTCAATAAAATTATATTACATTCAAATTCAAAATTTTTCTTTATTTTTAATCACTTATTTTCCATCGAATCACTATTCCAAAATGCACTTTTTGCAAAAAAAAAAAAAAAGGCATCATTGCTGACAACGATCGAAGATCCACTGTCGCCTGTGCTGACTCAAAATTTTGGGTCCGTCACTGGGGGCGGGACAAGTCCCCAGCTCCATTTATCGTCTCATTTATTTTTTTTCTTTATTTTTTATCTTATTCTTTTATGTTTTTCTTAGTAAATATTATCAATTTGTTAGAAACAACTTATATTCTCTTTAAAAATATGACAAATTTATTATTTTTGTTCGATAAAAAAATTAAATTTAAAATTAATTTTAAAGGCGACGGGTAGCGAAGCGGGGGACTATGATCCCCGTACCCACTTCGGGGTAATGACCATTGCCCCGTCCCGCCCCATTTACCCGATTAGGCGGGGCCCTCGGGTTTCGGGTTGAACATATTATTTGCCATCCCTAAACTTCATCATCAATCTAGACAATAAGTTCCATCGTAGATATTAATCTTTTTAGTCTATTGCACTCCAGTCAACTACAATATTCATTTTGCACGAAGAAATGACCATGTTAAGTAAAATTTTAGGTGGGAAACATATTTCAATTTGACCGTAAAAATAGACAAGTTAGAAAAAAATTCTGTATCGTAAAAGTTATTTCCTTATACACAAGTTCCAATTTTTAATTTTACCAAGCCGTGTTGGAATTTGATTTAATATGATTTTTATTTTGAAAACTCAATTTCATTTTCAGTTAATTTCTTCCATTTGAGTTTTATGAATGAAATTAACATTGTTTGTTTTCATAACAATTTGATCAGGTGCTACACTTAGCAAGGGAATAAATCGAGGGATTGGAACTATCGTAGGTGGTGGATTAGGGTGTTTTGCTGCAATTTTTGCAAATAAAAAGGGAAAGATGTTTGAAGCTATTCTTGTTGGCTCTTCTATTTTTATTTTTGGTATGATATATAAAATTCACCCTTCCTGCATTACATCCGTTTCTACTTATGTTATATTTTATATAATGTGGTTCAATATGCTGTTAAAGTAGATAAAGTTGAACTCTCATCTATTTATTAAAATTTCACTTAGTATTCATTAAGAAAAAGGTGAAATAGTGTCATTATACAATTATAAATAANAACTTAAAATGCTTTCAAGTGGTCATTAAGCCCCTGTTTGGCACCCATTCTCTTTTTCATTCTCATTCTCTTTTTTCATTTCAACCACACAATCTCCAAATAAAATAATATTACACAAAAATCTAAAAATTTTCATCACTTTTCCATCACATATTCTCCCATCAATCACTATTCCAAAATTTTTCAACCCATTAAAATGGGTGTCAAACACTCCCTAAATAATTATTTAATCTTAATTAAAGTCTTATATTTTTGGATTGAAGAGTTTAATATATTGAATGCATTTCATAATAACTCTCCAACAGAGAGATTAAGACACTCTAAACATTTTCCACAACTA